TCCCACGCGCATGCGCAGGCTGCTGTCAAATTACAATTTCATCTGCAACCAGGTACGCACCAGCTATATTTATCGAACCTTTTAAGCCTTACCGCCTATTTTTTTGGCGTGATACACAATTCTCAGGGAAGAACCCCGCCTGAAAGCTGGGTTGACAGTCGAGAACCTTACCCTCCACCTTTTTCTTGCCAGAAAAGCATCTAAACCACCCAATACTAATGATTTTGTTTCAAAGTTGGCACACTAATTTGATCTAAAGTTGGTCCATTCTTGACAACAAGCGTCCCAAAAAGCCAAAATTCTTTAATTTAATATTTTTCGGCCAGGATATATCGGCATGTACCTGGTTAACTCTGGTAACCCTACAAGTTTGAACAGGCTATTACTCAGCTGAAACTCTGTTCATTTGTGGGTATAATCCTGCAGGTTGGAGCTAATTTTTCTTTGTTGATGTCTCTTATATGCTTTTCTAATTGCGCATTTTTAATTTCTAAGGTAAACAGAGATGCATTCAAGAAGCTCGGTGCCCCCACAATGGGGAAGAAAAATTTCTATTCCAGCCCGGAACAGGCTATCTTTTCGGAAACCGAACCATTGAAAATACTAAAAGTTAAGAAGTAATATTACAAGAAACCACTGACAATAAAACTTTTCCTAGATAAAGTTGTACTATTACTTTTACCTTTTTGCAATATTTAATTTCATTTGTGACTCCGATTATTCAATTTTGTGTTAGTGATTATTTTGAATTTGTTTCAAATTTATGCATTTATCAACATATATTATTAAGGTGTAAACAAAATTCGTCATGCATATGTTTACACAAGGGTGTTCATAATCAGGCTGAGCCCAATCCAGTTAGCATTTAAAGACCTACGTCGAAGCTTTTGTTTTTTAAACAAATTAAGATATTTAAAGGCTTTTGTTTTTTGTTCTTCTCAATGGTGGGTTGTGCGCTTCCAATATATCCATGCACAGCAATCCAGGCGATGACTGGCCATGTATGACTACACTTACCCAACTCTCAATAATAGGGTAATAAAACTAGAAAGGTTGGCAATGAAGACTTTTGTCTTGAGCTGAGTGAGACTTATATTCATTTATAAATTGCAGCAAACAAGCCACGTTCACATACACAGACAAACAAACCCCATCACTGCCCACTTTTTCTCTCGTCCATGAGAATAATATGAAAACTCCAAGAGCCTTGGAAATCGAGTTAGTGGAGTTATTTGCGTTCCCCACAAACATGCCCTTAACCTCAGCTTGGACTGAGGATTTCAACATTCACTTTAACAAATTATATTAAACATTTTTTTAAATCAACAAATATTAGGAGGCAAAAAAGTGAAAAAGCTACGATCTCGCCTTTATATACGACCCATCATGTCCCCCCACGCCTAAAACCACACCTCCCCTCGTCTCTCTTTCTTTACTAACCCACTTACCTCTTTGCTTTTGAGCACAAATCCTAGCTTAAGCCGTGCTACTTATATTTTCACTTTCTTCATACATTAATTATGTCAAAGATGATTACCGGCTACCTCCGAGGATTAGTTGACGTCGGCCGAAAACACAAAGGAAGCGGTGGTTGGTGGTGGTGGTGGCATGGCGACGAATGGTTCTTTTGTAAATACGGGTGAAAGAATGGATAAAAAGAAACAAACAAGGCTTTGCAATTGCGCTCTCCTGAGTTTCTAGCCCAGCCAAGAGGCAGAATTGGGAGAGCGGCATCATTGCATTGCGGGGAATTGAGGGTAGCGGTCCGATTTTACTTTAACTCTGGTTCTCTAATAATCCTTTTTGTTTTGCTTCCTTGTTTAATCTCGAATCTTGTGTTTCTTTCTTTTCCCTTATTTGACTTCTTTTTCCTTTATTTAGGATTATTCTTAATATTTATGGGATGAACATGGGATGTAAGAGATGCATACGAAGTAGCTAGCTAGCTCGTTTAAGGTTCGCACTTAAAAAGTGTAGGATTTTGAGTTTGGGGTTTTGGATTGGAGTTTGGTTTTGGGGTTTTGGTAGTTTTATGTATAAAATGCTGCTGGGCATGCATCACTTACAACTATCATGTATTTTCTTTTCTATTTTAGACTTGGTAATGTTTCTCTATCTCTGGCTGCACAATTTGCTGTACGAATTAGCACTTGGTGTGAATTTCGGGTTTCCATTTTGTTCAGTTGGCCCAACTTGCCATAATTATCCCTTTTCCGATCTCCGTCTTAATGATTGGCTTATAAAAAGTAAAAGGAATATGTTTTAGCCTGTAAAGCTTGGTGATTTCTAAGGAAATGCTTGGCAATCAGACTTGTCCTTTTCAGCATGCGAATCACTGAGCAAGATGTTTGACTGCTGCTATTACTTTATTTTTCTGAAACCTTTTTGCAGAAGGATTCATTTGCTGCTACTTCAGACGATGGCACAGCTGGTCAGTGGGTCATGGATTCTTTTAGGCCCTGGTTGGAATATTGGATCTCAATCCGTTTTAGGCTTTTATGCACCTCCAAGCCCAATTTAGATCTATTATGCGGATAATCAAACCTATTTTAGGCACTTCGAGTATGTTTGGTATCGTGATTGGAGCGACAAATGCAATTTTAAATAACATAAAAATTGCGATTATATTTCTTGATTGAAGTGATTTTGTTCATGATAACAGAAGTAAGTAGGAATTTCCATTGCTATAACTTTTAATCGCAATCTCAATGTTAAATTGGGCCTTAATACTCTTTAAAAAATAAAACATTTGTAATTTCTTAAAAAATGAAAAAGAAGGAAATTATAAACCAATGGTAGATCGACTCAATTGATAAGGTTGTCCCCATCACGTAAGTGGTTTTGGTTCAAGCCTCACTAATGATCTCTCTTGGCCTATCCAGTTAGAAAGGTAATTAATTCCAATATCTAAGCCTTAATCTTTTTTGGTCCCAAGCTAGGCAATGCTAGAGGGAGAGTGAATAAAGATGGAATCGATGTGTGCTCTACATGCCAATCAACAGGTTTTTAGAAAACATTGATATCATTTTATCCACTGCAATTAATAGAAAGTTTCTTTTTATCTATGAGTTTATACAATTTATGTTATTTCACTAAATAAAATTTTGTCAAAAATTCTATAGTAAAACATTCGTTAACAATCTTGTCGATTAGAAAATGTAAAACCCTTTGACTTTGACATAGACTAAGTATGATGTTAATTAAGCTATTTGAGGAGTTAATTTCAACTTTGGTGTATATGCTTGTAAACTTAAAGATATGTCTATGTTAATAGAGAATGACTTTAAATTTTGACATGTTTAGGGACTTCTGATAATGTCGTGTATATTTTAAGGCTATGAAAGTATGAACCATGATACTTAGCCCAAATATGAATTTATAATCAATAAACTACAGTAAAACCTCTATAAATTAATATCTTTGAGACCTTGAACATTTATTGATTAATTGAGATATTATTTAATATATAAATTAAAAGTTTATTAATTTATACATTAATTAATAAAAATTAATTTATCAAGGCATTCTTTATTTTTTTTTCAAAACATTGAACTTAATATATGTATTGTGTATTATGATTATACAAATATTACCTAATTACCAAATTATAATATATCATTATTCTATGTATACTTAACTAATGTACTTCATAAATATTAAGTCAAACAAAAACATCTATAAAAAAATATATACAGTATCACAAACTGTAACACCCCGTACCCTCGCATAGGAGCCGATACGACTTTATCCAGAAGACGAAGGGTCGATTGACATAAATCTAAGTACCAAAGAAGGTGATGAGTGAAAGGAATAGTTTGGAATAAAATATTTCACAAGTAATAAAATAGTAATTAAATAATAATATTTTTATCGAAGATGAATTAGTGAGTTAAAAGGTGATTAAGAAGTGAATCGGGACAAAGTGAGACATTTTGGATCCCGAGCAAACGAGTGAAAATCTTAGAATAAAATAAAATTTTATTAATAAAATATTATTAAAATATTAATATTTTAACTATTATCGAAATTAATCATGAAGAAGGATTATATGACTAAACTAAGTAAGGGAGAAGAAGTCAGAAAGAATTTCAAATAAAAACAACATGGGTGGGGCCCGCGTGCCTTTAGTTAATAAAACAAGAATGGATAAATATATATTTAAATATTATGATGATATTTATGTGAAGTGCAAATTGTATATTTTAATTATACACATGTAAAGGAAGGAAGATAGAAGAAAATTGTAAAGGTTAAAAGTTGAAGGGTCGCACGGTAAATAAAGAAAAGTTTGAGGACTTTTGTGCAATTACAATATTTGAAGTTAAATGAAAATTAATTAACCAAGGGAAGTTATATTATATGGGATGATGAAATGTATATGTGAAATTTACTATTACATGCAAATTATTGCATGCAAAAAGAAGGAAGTTAGTGGGAAACATGTGAGACCCCACCATGTGATAGTTGATTAAAAGAAAAAGAATCAACTGTATTTAAGTGGAAGAAAACCATGGTTTAGCAAAGATACCCATGGTAAATAAAGTAAGGATGGTAATGTGATTTGAAAAGAAAAGATAATCGTAGCATGAAATGTTATCGGGTGATAAGGTGGATTCAAAGGAAATGAAAATGAAATGCATAAAAATACATGTGGAATGAAATGCAAATGAAATAAATCAAAAGAGAACACCATGTGGACCAGTGCATGGACAAGGCAATCTAACCAAAGAATAAAGGAATGGATAAGGAAACACTGCATGAATAAGCCACCAATGAGAGATGGCGTTAATAACAAAGAGAGGAATTGATTGGCATGACATGTAAAGATAAAAGAAAAGAAAATAATGGAAAAAGAATGGACAATGATGGTGGTAGGTGAAAAGGTTTCAAAAGCCTTTTTACCTTGTGATTTTAACCACATGAAAGCAAAAGGAAAATTGTAAAATGATCAAGCCTTGGGCAATCCGCCCATGAGAGAAGAAAGAAAGGAAATTTTAGTGTGGGGATCTTAGGAATATCTGCCCACACCAAGAAATGGCAAAATGACTTTGCCTTGAGAAAACCCGCACCCTTGGAAAGAAAAAGAGAAAGAATTGGCTTGGAAGCAAAGAGAGAAAGGAAGAAAAGAGAAAGAAAGAAAGGAGAAAAAAGAAAAAGATATGGAAGGTTTGCCCTAGTGGTTCCAAGCTAAGGAAGGAAGTAGAAATTTGATTTTAGTTATGAATTTCTTGAAGAAATGAGTTGGTAATTGTGTGAAAATGTTGTGGCAGCAAAGGGCTTCCAAGAATTGAAGGAAATAGATGCATGGTTACAGGTGGATCTTGGAATGTATGGTGATTTTGAGCTAGATAAGCAATGGGTAAGTATTTTGGCCTTGAAATCACAAGTAAAGAAGAGAAATGAGATATGCGCTAATTGTTTATGTTTGTGGCAACAACGATGACCATGGATGGGAGGAAATTGTGAACCATATGTGGAAATCAAGCTAAAACCGAGAGGTGAGCATGCAATGCATCTAAATTGTGTTATGTTGGTTATGAACGGTTGATAGTATGTGGAATGCTTGTTAACATGCTTGTGATTGAGGTTGATGAAAAATATAAAATTTGGTTAAGGAATCATTAATCAAGCTGCCCATATATGTGTATGATTAAGCATATTGAGTTTAATTTGTTGCTAGGAAAGTTTGTCGTAGTGGTGTGCTAGAGGAGATAACGAGTGATCGACAAGAAGAGTTAGCTAGATACGCACTTGAATCAATAGTGTTGTAGCGTCCTGCTATTATAAGGTGAGTAGGGGGTGTCGATTTCTAAATTTTCATACTATATATATGTATATATTGCTTTACGGTTGATAGATGTGTTGATTTATTTCAAATGCGATTTATGGATAGCATGAGCTGGTAGATATCCTAGGAATTTGTGAATGTCAAAGTTTTTGAAATTGTCTTGACCATATATACATATATATATATATATATATATACAAGCTATATATGTAAAGGATTTTAAAAATCGGGAAATGAGCTTTTTACCACAATTTCTATCAAAATGTGCCTTATTGATTGTGTGATGTGCATTCATGAATGAATTTCATACTCACCATGCTGATTTGCCATCAAAACCTCATGCAAAAGGTTTATAATGTTAATTTTTACAAAAAAAGGGTTTTATCATGTTACTGTGATTGGTATTTTGAAAATGATTTGAAATGATCTTTTAAAAACCCGATTTGGCTTTTAAGTGGTTTTACTAAACCAAGAGATTCGAGAGTAGGCTGAATGCCACATCAGCATAGTGTGACCCTTGTGCACAAGTGAGCTCTAGCTGGAGAACCTTTGGGTCGTTGATGGGCTGTTAGACATGGCTAGGGCCATGGTCTGTGATATATGTGGGACGACCATAGGTTGTTATATGTGGCTAGGCCACAAGTAATATTAGCAATTGCGATCGTTTGATTTCTCCGATGTTGGCCAACATCGTTGAGACTATCATGGCATGTTGGAATCTGTTGGAGCAGTGCTTCCAGTTTGTTGTTAAGTGGATGCGGGTCCATGGGTTGATATTTACGATTACCTACTCGAGAGTGATATCTCTTTGGGTTTTCAAACATGACTTCTTTCGTATGGTTAGAAATACTAGTTTTCTTGCAGCTCCCCTATTTGATTAAAAGCTTTCAGTGCTTTATTTATTGATTATGAATTAGTGACGCTGTGTTTAATACCTCGAGGATGAGATGATTTATGAGCTTGTGCAAAAGATTTAATGATGTTCATTTCATGGGAGCATGCGTGCTTATGTTAGTTCAATTTTAAGTAAAGGACATTAAGTGATTTTGATGATAGAAATCTTTCACTCACACTGGTTTTGAGAAAATGATGGTTAACGATTTCTTGCATAAAAATGCTTGGTTTTATACATAACGCAGAAATGTCCCCTTTACTTTTAAATGGATTATATGTTCTTATGTTTTTATATATTCAAATCTTCTGCCTTGGCTTGTTTCCCATCTACGCCCTACTCACGAAGTTGATGATCACTGAGTCTGTGAGACTTACCCCCTTATTTCCTTTTATAGATAAGTTATCAGCTCAAGTACATTGCTCAGCACCTCGAGACTTGCTGCAACATAAGTAATGGCATTTCTTAGAGTTGCACTTCAAGTCGCTCCACTGCATAGATGTTGTGTTGTGTAAAATAATTAGACTTATAAAGATTATCAGTTTATTGAAAATGTATTTTTTGAAAAACTTTAAGGTTGTGTATTGGATGTTAAGTGTGAAGTTGGGACACATGAGGATATTGTAACTAGTTGATATACTTTAATTGTAATTGTTTATTTGGTTTATGTAAACAAAAGTATTGTTATAACTACTCGATTCATATACACATTAGAATGTTTAGTTAAATTATTTGGAATCTCAACTAAGGCTTGTTCGGGATTTGACGGGTTCACTCGCAAGTCTTGAACATTGGTAACGATCTGGGAAGAGGTCATTACATAAACGGTAAAACTAAATATAGTGGCTTCTTATATCAAAAGTGTAAAAAAATCAACAATGACGGATGAAATGTATAAAGCATTGGGTGAGTACAACATAAAAAATCCAAATTGCACTTAAAAGCAATTGCAATAGTGGGTACCAAAAAAGTTTAACCTACAAGTGAACCAAGCAATAATATCAAATATGATCAAGAGGTTATTAGAGTAGTTATCAATCGATATTGAAAAGGTGATGGTAAACAATACAAAATGCAAAATTGCTAGAGAGAAGGTTCTTTACGAGTGGTTTGCTCAATACTAAGAAAATTTAGAGATGATGTCCAAACAAAACATCAATTTCAAGAAAAACAAGTAACATTAGAGTCATATTTTACAAAGGCCTCCTAATTGAGTTATGTATATATATAACTTTGATGTATCATATTCAAAAAAAAATTTGATGTATAATGAGATTATTAATTTATATATCAACTGAGAACTATATGTTTTTTTAAATGTATGATTTTATTAATATAACAAATTATTAATTTACCATGCTAGTCTCAAGTTGGGACTAGTCAAAACTATCATTTAATTAAGATTATTAATTTATCGAGTATTAATTTATTAAGGTTTTACTGTAGTATGTTTTGGAGTTTGATCAAATCTTTGACCATACCTTGAATATCTATATTGAAATTGTGAGTTGTATAGTTGCTTTGATGTCTGGTGGAAGCAGGAAATGATTTGAAATGGATTTGGGAGTTTGGATTCAAACTTAGAAAGTTTAAAGTTTTGAAAATTTAACTTCTAGACAAGATCTATCAACACATTAGAGAATGTGTTGATATATTTTAGGTAGAAAGCCTTGTGGAAACATTCTGTAAATTTTCTATCTAGATAAATTCAAATTGAGGTACATTTTGTTGAATTTCTATCGATACATTCATCAAATGTATTGATAGATTTATAAAAAAAGACATTTTGTGAAAAATGTATCAATTGATTTCCCAATCTATCGATACGTCTAAGGTAGAAAGCATTCTATTTGATTTCTATTGATACATTGCCTCAAGTATTGATAGATTTGTGGGAAACCTGTAAGAATGTATCGATACATTTATAAATGTATCGATACATTTATAAATGTATCGATACATTTATAAATGTATCGATACATGCTTGTAAGCCAATAAAACTAAAAGAGCTTTGGGTCGTTTACCCATTTGATAAACAAAAGAAAAACACTCCCATTACTCTACCCATTGGGACCCTACATTCCCTATGGTTGGATAAAGCTTGATTAAGGTAGTTTGGAGCGAAGAAAATGTAAAAAAAGGTAAGATTAAGCTTCTTAGCTATTTGGTTTAAGATTTAAACAGTTTATAGTTTTAGAACTTTGTTTTGGTTGAGTTGGGGTGCATCTCCTTAAAGTTGGCTAATTGGTGAGTCAAATTTGAGTTTGATTGACACTTGAGGTAAGGATTTTAAGTGTTCTCATTCTAGAATTTGGAACTAGACTGAAATGTGGAGTAACTAAAAAGTTGTAAGTTATTGTGTATGTTTGTGTAAGGGAGAGTTAAGGACTAAAGCTTGTTGCCATAATTAGAAGCTTGTTGATGAGCAGAGAAATTCAATTGGTTGTAGAAGGAGTTCTCATTTCAATGTGAGTAGGGCTTTCTATTTGAACTAAGAGGGTATATATATCTATATAATGTATATATATGTATCAATGTTAATTTGTTAGTTGATTATATTGTGTTAGCCTATAAATATAATGCCTATGTGATTATTTAAATTTGAAATACATGACTTTGTCTTTGTTAGAAAATGTTCTGAAATTTTATATCAACTTTAAAAGCTATAAGTACATGTGTGTGTGTGTGTATTTATGTTAATATGATTTGAAAATAGGAATCAAGCCTCTTTGGAAGTGTTTTATCATCAATAATATTTGGAGTTTGCTTGCTTGTTGTGAGCTATACTTTGCTAATGTGTTTGCTTTGTCCTACACTTAAAACCATGACCTAATAAGTTGAATGTAATTATTGATATGAGTTAATAATTGATGATCTTGGTACCATTAACTTGGTATGATAATGCATTTAGAATGCTAAGTCTTGTGGTTTGATTAGTATTTTGATAAGTCTAATATCTTTAATTTGTGAGGGTCATAACACATTTGAAATATTGGATGAACACAAACGCATTGAAAAGGGATAATGTGAATTGGGTAAACATATGTGGCATACTGAATTATGATCAATTGATATGTGTTGAGTTTATAAGGTGTTAATGGCATGATGGCATTGAATTTGGATATGTGTTTTGTTTAATGCTTATGAATTATGGATGTGATTTGTTTGTGATTTAGTGGCATCCCTCCTCTATGAATCTATTCTCTGTCGGTTGCTTTGGCACTGAGCATGATTTGCTTTCCATCAACTACTTTAGCATCACGCGTGTTTTGTTTCTCCATTGGTTGCTTTAGCATTGAGGGTGATTTGTTCTTCACCAAATGCTTTGGCATCGTGCGTGGTTTGTTTCTCCATTGGTTGCTTTGGCACTGTGCATGATTTATTTCTCTATCAGTTGCTTCGACACTGAGTATGATCTGATTCTTGTCAGTTGGCCACTCAACAATGATTATGCTATGTCTAGGGAAAACCCTTCATTGATTATGTTTTGTGCATTGTGATAAGGATCTGTAGGCAATATGTTGTATTATTCAAATGTGAAAACTTATGTGTTGTTGGCTGATGGCTACGATAAGTTATGATATGTGTCCCTAAGGGATGACATTATGTGGTCAATGGACATAGAATCTTTAAGGATTAGTTGATTCGTTCATGATATATGTGTTGGCATGAGCCTTATAAGCCAATTTGTGGTTTTATAGGAATCACAATTTGGCACATTTTGTTATTTATAACAACATTGATGTAGATATGCTTTGAAAAGCAATTGTATTGTGATACAATTATGAGATTTTTATGCATTAGACCATTGTTCCTAAAAGTTTTTAATCATTGTATTATTGAGATGAAACATCAATAATGCTCAAAGATCGGCACGTGCTATGTTCCTTACTTGTGAAGTAAGCACTACTCTCATAGGTTTAAGTATAGAGACATTTGGAACTAGCTTGTGGTGCTTGCAATGGGAGAGCAATTTCACTGAACATGACCTAACATGAGAAGTTCATTTGGTATCTCACTCTCGTGTCTATGCAATACTTCTCATGTGTCAGTTGTCTAATTACTCCTTAGACTTAAGACACTAGATTGTCTTATATGTGGGGTACTATGTTTTGGTTTCAATCTTATGGGTCCTACCAAGGATGCCAAATTAGGATGCTTTTGAGTATAGTAAGAAGCATATGAAGACAAATGAGTGATCAAGATAGAAATCATCACCCCAAGTGATTCAAGAAGAAATATCTCATTAGTTATTGGTTAACATTAACTTAATCAAATTCTTGGCCAAGCTGATTGAGAGATTATGAAATGAGTTTTATAAGTCTTTATAAAGCTAATGATCTAACTACAGGAACAAATATGAAGATCAATAAAAGAAGACACTGCACCAAACTCTTATCATCTTTGAGATATATGATGAGGGAATGAATTACACTGATAGATTGTACATTGAAAGGTTGTCAAAGAACCCTTTGACTCTCCTAGCAATTGGGTGGCCGTGATGCATTACTAGATTCTAATCTTTGTCTATGGAATTGAATTGATTAATTTAATATGAATTGGATTCATTTAAATTAATTAATAAAGATTAATAATTCAATTTCATTGCTAACATATTAGGAACCTAATGGATCACACACATAAGGTTGCATTATGAATTAAACTAGGAATGTGACAATTTAAGTTGGACTTAAATCATGAACTAGTTTAATTAACTAATAAGGACTTAATTAAAAGGGTTAAATTAAGTGCCAAGGTCAATATTATAAGAGGTTATAATATTGAGGACTTAATAGCAAACTTAATAAGTTAATGAACCTAGGTATAAAGTCATCTTTTCAACCACTTTTGATTATTAGTTTTAGCTTTACAAAAAACTAATACAACTTTCTCTAGTGTCGTCGTCCCTTGTAGGAGCCTTTTGGAAGAGTTGTTTGTGTGATTTGATTGGAGACTAAGAAAGGAAGAGAAGAACAATTTGTTGGCACAAAAGCATCGTTGGAAGTTCCCATCTCATAGAAGATTCCACCGCGGCTATGTGTGCAACATTAGAGGCCAAGCGACTAACTGGCTTGGGTTCTTACACACTTCAGGGTGTACATGTGTTTTAAACATCATGATGATACCATTTGATTATGATATCGTTTGGCAAGGTAATCAATTCTGATTGCATTTCTCATAATGTTCTGTTCGCATTAAAACAACAAGGTGATCTAAGGTAGGTGTTACATTTTATTTTTCTACTTCGCTATGTTTTTTTTTTTAAAATCTGACCATGTCGTACCTAACAATTTGATTGGGGTTACTATAATATATTGACATACATGATCAGAGAGAAATTGTAACAACCCTGACCTTGATATAGATTATATATGATTATGGATAAGCTAATTAATGAGTTGACACATGAATGTGAAGTAAGATATGATTTTGCAAGTTTAAATTTGGAGTTAGGGAGATATAAGTGCTGAAAATCAAGTTTCTAGGGCAAATCTATTGATAGATTCATCAATCTATTGATACATTCTTGGAAGCAAGATTTGGGGAAGCATTCTGTAAGAAAAGTATCGATACATTTAAGGATGTATTGATGGATTCATGTTAGGGGACATATTGTGTAAAAACTATTGATACATTACAAGAATGTATCAATAGATTTGAGTTGGGTAAACATTATGTTGAA